TGTATGTATGTATGTATGTATGTATGTATGTATGTATGTATGTATGTCTTTGCCCACTGAGCCATCTTGCTGGCCCAGTAAGAGTTTTAAACAATAAAACAAACAGGCCTCCTTGGGGGGTTTGGAGGACTAACTACAGTGTTCAAGCTATGAACACTTATTCTTAGGAAAGATAATCAGAGCGCCAGTCATTTTTAGCATATCTGATAAATGGAAGCCTTTTAAGCACATGCCTTGTTTTGATATTTCTGACAATGGAAAGTTAAAAGAATAGAACAAAGCATTCTCACGCACTCTCTCCCCTATCCGCCAGGGGCCTTTGCTCATCCCTTCATACTCACCCATTCATTTTCTCTTCCTTCTCCTTGTCCCTCAGTCCCTGCCTCCCTGCCTCCTGCATGCACCCCATTTCTGTCTTCCCTCCTTTTTCTCTCTTTCTTTTCCTTGGATTCATTTGAAATGAATTAGAATACTTATCCCTTTATTTATTTTTTTAAAAATATTTCAGAGCATATTTTTCAGCAAGAAGGACAGTTTTTGAACTGCAAAACAATCAAATTAGGAGTTTGAATGAGGAGCTTGAATGTTTATTCAGTATGCTTATTTATCCTCTGTTCGGATGTTGTAATTGTCAAAGCAATACTCTTAAAAGGTATTTTTGTGTACACGGCTCATCCTGGGAATGACAAGGAATTCACTCTCCTTGCTTGCTATCCAGTGTGTGATGCATCTTCCTCTTTCCTCAGAATAATTCTTACATTTTCTTTGGGTGTGTGAGTGGAGGAAGAGTGTTGGTCTTTATGATCTAGATAATTTTCTTAACCAAGGCCAAGTATTTATGTATCAAAATGCCCCTGCGTTTGTCTGAGTTTTCTTTCTGGATCGGATCCAGGTGTCAGGCCACTTTGCCTGCCCTTTTGAAAACGGAAAGGATGCGTGTCCACAGCATAGGTTTTCATTATGAAAAAACTCAGGACGGGATAGAGATCGGCCTGTGTGTTGGAGGAGGCGCCGCACAAGCGCCTTCTGATGGCACTTACTCCAATTGAACAGCCATCTTCAGAAAGACTCATTCCCCTGGGAGCTCACCCCTCTAACTGGGAAGGTGGGTAGATCAAGAGAATGAAAGGCACAGCCTCTCCATTTCCTTGATTCTTATCAAGGGCAGGCAGCATTCTTTGCTGTGTAACATGGAAATAAATTAAACATCTGAAAGAGTAGTCTCTTCTGCCCAGAAACCTCAAAGTTTCTCAGTATCAGGGAAACATGAATAGACATTCTTCTCTCTTGTTGTCGAAAAGCACCTGCCTCTGCAGAAATGCCACCGTGTCAGATGACAGATGAAAAGCACAGCCCAGCATCCGAATGTTGTCTGTGTCCTTTTTAGTGCATTCCGAGAATGACCAGACACTGTAAAAACATTTTTAAACATCTTGGCCTCGATGTGGGCAGTGTCTTTCATCACTGAGGATTCTGAAAACTCTTTAAAAATAAATGAGTTTTGAAGCTGACTGCTGGCAATGGTGGTGTTATCTGGGTGGGGGTGGTAGCTTGTTTGGAATAGTGCTTGCTTAGCAAGCACAGAAGCTCTGAGTTTGACCCTAGAACCACATAAAACTGGCTTTAATGATGCATGATTGTAATCCACTGGGGAGGTGGAGGCAGGAGGATTAGGAGCTAAAGGTCATCATTGGCTCCATAGTGAGTTTGAGGCCAGCCTAGAATACAGAAACAACTGTGTCATAGTTGGCATGACTGGTATACGGCGATCTGGTGGTCTTGACTGTAGTGAGGGTTAGAAGGAAGGGTTCGTCATTTTCATTGGCCGAAGGTACAGAAAATCTGATATGGAATGAGTCACCTTGCATCCTAAAAGTGAGCTCATCCTACCTTGTCTGGCGTGTGAACTGATCTATTTGCACGGCTCTTCACCAACAGTGCATTTTTTTATAGTGAGTTGAAAACAGAACGCTCAGTGGCTCCTTCTGTGCGAAGAAAACAACACAACTATTAGCTAGGAAAGGTCACCTTTGTTTCAAGCATGAGAAAGTTGGCTCCAATAGATGATGCGATGCATTGCTTTCCAACAGCTGAAGGTCATGTCATGCCCTTGGGTGGACACGGCAACAAAGACGCTTCATGAAGTTGGAAGACCTAGGACATGAACAGCCCAAGTAACTCATATTAATGCAGCTGTTCAAAGCCATTTTCCTCTTGTGGAGTGGATTGTTCCTGACACACTTTTTGTTTCCCATGACCCTCAAAGGGGTGGTCTTGAAGTCCATCACCTGAAAGTTTCTCCCATCGAACTGGGGGAATTTTCTAAAGAAGAGAAGTATCTCCCTTGGGCCTGGTGGTACATTTGTAATGGGTTCATGAGGATTCCAAAGTAGTGAGATGGCATTTCAAAAATCATTCTGATATTTGGAATTTCACATTTATTAAGTGCCATCCATGAATTTATCAGCGTAGCTGATTGTTTTTCTCTGTGCCATGGGGAGGGGCGTATTTCACTCAGCAGTGTGGAAAGCTGTGCATTCTAGGCTCCATTTTGCTTCAGATGGCTTTGTTTTAGAATCATGTTGTCTATTTTATGCAGCGCTGAAGACTGAGCCCAGGGCTTTGCATGTGCTCACAAGCAATGGCCATTAGACTTTTTCTGATCTTGGATAGTTCAGTTCTTTTTTTCTTTCTTTCTTTTCTTTCTTTCTTTCTTTCTTTCTTTCTTTCTTTCTTTCTTTCTTTCTTTCTTTCTCTCTCTCTCTCTCTCTTTCTTTCCTTCCTTCCTTCTTTTTAACAAAGATTTATTTATTTATTATTTATACCGTAGTCTACCTGCATGTGTGCCTGCATGCCAGAAGAGGGCACCAGATCTCATCATCAATGGTTGTGAGCCACCATGTGGTTGCTGGGAATTGGGCTCAGGACCTTTGGAAGAACAGCCAGTGTTCTTAATCTCTGAGCGATCTCTCCAGCCCTCCTTCTTTCTTTTAATGATTCCATTAGATGAAAGAATTCTGGTGCATTTGGGGTGTTGAGTGTCAACTATGAACTTACTATGAAATCTTTATAATTCACAACTTAAAATTCTTTATAATTTATAACTTGGTACAATGAGTTATGGTGAAAGACCTTTTCTGTGTGTTTCATTTTCTGTGTGTTAACATTTTTGTTTTTCCAAAAAGGAGCCTTGAAGATGGTCTAGTGTCATCTCCGGGTGTCAATCACCCAGGTCTAGGGACTCAAATCTCCAGACTGGCTGTTCACTGTTCTGTGAACTCTAGCAAATTATATACCCTTTGGGAATTGATTGTCTCAAATCAGTCCAATGGTCAGTGAAATGAGGAGTGTGAAACTGTGTATCTTAAATGATTTGGGTTCCTCTGTCAAAAACCGAATGGCCGTACCGCTGAGCACATTTTATTTTAAATCTATATTGTGTTGTGCTGGGCTCAGTTGATCAAGAAGGACTTGAAATAGCTCTCTAGAACCTACACTACAAAAATAAAAAAGCTTCTCCAGTCAATGGTGGCACACACCTTTAATTCCAGCACTAGGGGGGCAGAGGCAGGTGGATCTCCATGAGTTTTAGGCCAGCTTGGTCTACAGAGTGAGTTCCAGGACAGACGGGGTTACACAGAGAAACCCTGTCTTGAAAACCCAAAATAATGATAATGATAGTAATAATAATAATAATAATAATAATAATAATAATAATAATAAATATTATTATCAAAAGGCTTCACGTGGTAGGATGGTGCTTATAATCCTAGCTTTGGGCAGAAGAAGAGAGATGGGTTTCTGGGGTTTACAAGCCAGCCTGTTTAGACTATTGAAGGAATTGCAGGCTAGTGAGAGACCCTGCCATTAAAAACAAAAACAAACAAACAACAACAAACTAAAAAGAGATGGCGCCCAAGTAAGGAAAAATACCTGGGTTTGTCTTCTGAGGTCCACATGGACATGCACATACATTTCTGCACACATACATGCATGCCTGCTCATGTGCATGCCTGCGCTGACATGCTTACATGTGTGTACACATTAACACGTATGCATGCATACCTGTTTATGTACATGCGCATGCTGACATGCGTACCTGCTTACATGCATGCACACACTGACATGCGTACCTGCTTACATGCATGTACACACATGCATGAATACCTGCTCGTAGGCATGCAGAAATACCCCACACTTACATACAAAAACAAACAGAAACTTGCCTATACTGCGTAAACTAGCACGTGACTAGGTAATGCATGCTGAATCCTCTATGTCCCCTGGCCGACGTTACTGATAAAAAAAGAGTTTGTTCATTTGTGGGCCTGAAGCGGCAGATGTAACGGTAGGAAGTGTTGTTTTGCTCCTAGAAGCACTAAATGGTAATTGAGCCCCGTTTCTCTCCCTTTTGTCTCCTTTAAAGACAGGTCTTCGAAGCCGAAGTGGATTTTGGGGAGCTGCAGGTATGGTTGGTCTCAGCTTCGAAGGGTCATTTGCAGCCACTCCTCAGGACCTTGAGTAACCGTGTTCAACTGGAACCACATAAAGAACTCTCCAAGGTAAAGCAATTACAACGATTTTAATAGACACCAAGTAGCCAAAAGTTGATGACACTTTCTGAAAGAATTAAAAAAAATACAGTAAAAAAAATCTGCATAATTGTCAAGCTAGATGGTGTCAGCACAGGCCTTTAATCACAGCACTCAGGAGGCAGGAGAAGGAGGACCTCTGAGTTTGAGGCCAGCCTGGTCTAAACAGCAAGTTCCAGGACAGCCAGGGATATACAGAAAAATACTATCTTAAAAAAAAACCAAACCACTCAGGATGATCCTTTCCAGGTCCCACCATTTACCTGCAAATTTAATGATTTCCTTATTTTTCATTGCTGAGTAATACTCCATTGTGTAGATGTACCACAATTTCTGCATCCATTCTTCAGTTAAGAGGCATCTGGGCTGTTTCCAGCTTCTGGCTATTACAAATAAAGCTGCTACAAACATGGTTGAGCAAATGTCCTTTTTGTGTACGTGAGCCTCTTTTGGATATATGCCTAGGAGTGGTATGGCTGGATCTTGAGGAAGCGCAATTCCTAGTTGTCTGAGAAAGCGAAGCAGAAAGACACGCACGGTATGGTATGTACTCACTCATATAGCCATATAACATAGGATAAACCTACTAAAATCTAAAGAAACTAATCAAGACAGAGGACCCTGACTAAAACACTCAATCCCCATTCCAAAAGGCAAAGAGGATGGACATCAGAAGAAGAAAACAGGAAACAACCTAGGAACCTGCCACAGATGGCCTCTGAAAGGCTCTGCCCTGCAGACTATCAAAGCAGATGCTGAGACTTATGGCCAACTGTTGGGCAGAGTGCATGGAATCTTATGTAAGAAGTGGGAAATAGTAAGATCTGGAGAGGACAGGAACTCCACAAGGAGAGCAACAGAACCAGAAAATTTGAATACAGGGGTCTTCCCAGAGACTCATACTCCAACAAAGTACTAGGCATGGAGATAACCTAGAACCCCTGCACAGATGTAGCCCATGGCAGTTTAGTGTCCAAGTGGGTTACATAGTAATGAGAAGAGGGACTGCCTCTGACATAATTTGATTGGCCTGCTCTTTGATCACCTACCCCTGGTAAGGCTGCTCCCTTACCAGGCCACAGAAGATGACAATGCAGCCACTCCTGATGTGATCTGGTAGACTAAGATCAGAAGGAAGGAGAGGAGGACCTCCCCTATTAGTGGACTTGGGGAGGGGCATGCATAAAGAAAGGGGAGGAAGGGTGGGACTGGGAGGGGAAGAGGGAGGGACTTATGGGGGGGATACAAAGTGAATAAAGTGTAATTAATAAAAAAAGAAATAATAAATCTTAAAACAAAAACAAAACAAACAGAAAAACACCAAACCAAACCAAACCAAAACAAAAAGAATAACTGTCATTCTTTCACTTATCACTGTCTTTAAAATGAAATCCTCTCAGTGTGTGAAGCCCTCTGGAACATTCCATGGGGAAGATGAGGAGACAGAAAATTATGTCTGAATTAGCCCCCTGCCCTACCCTTACTACCCAACTCTGACATTTCTCTAGGGAATCACAGTATTTTGGGGGAATGAGGTAGGGAGAGTGTCTCCCTAAGTAGACCAGGCTGGCCCCGAACTCACAGAGAGCTACCGTGTGTCACCACATCTGGCAGTCACAGACTTTGTTTAGTGTACACTTGCTTTAAGGAGCAGAGGAAGCTGGTATCTAGAACTGTTCCTGTACGAATCTGGGCTGTCCTCGGGCTTCTGATTTGGTGACTTGTCTAGATTCCACAGGAAAATGGAAGCTGTCCAGATGATGTGAAGCAGGGGAAGTGGCTGGCACAGGGGTGGTTACATGTATGCTCGGATCAGAGAGGCTGGCCAGGAGATGGGGCAACCCGGCATTAGCACCTTTGGAAGCCAGGTTGGTGCAGTACCCTCCTGCATGGGAATGGCCCCGTGGTTAACATGGAGCTCGCTTCTTTGAGCAGATTCAAAGCACAGGGCAGATTCAAAGACAAAAGGGTTTTGCAGATTTAGTTAAGATGTTAGATAATTGACTTAAAGTTCAATAGAGTGCACAAGTCCTCTGTCCAACTGAGGTATTTGGGTAAACTCTAAAACTGGACTGTGATTAATTTGGAAGAATAGTTTAGAACTGAGACAGGACTGGGAGATTCCACACATCAAAACTTTAGGGGCTGAGAGCTCTTGGCCAGTGCTAAAACATGGTGACCTTAATTACAAAGTCCAAGAACAGGTTTTTCACTATCCCAAAGACTCCCCCCCCCCCAGTTGGGTTGTTTAGGTGAGGACATGTCCAGCTAAAACCTTTTGTTTTCCCTCCTTGTCCAGGGGTGATGGGAAATTGAACCCAGGTCTCTAACATTGTGGACCACGTTTTCAGGCCTCCTGCATTGACCAGAAGATCCATACCAAACTCCCAACTTGCAAAAACCAAGCTCATATTTTTGACTTACTGCCAACTGCTAAGTTTAGTCAGTTACTGCAGAAGTCCTCAGCACTTTCATCTTGCAGAGAAACACTGCTCTTCTCTTCTCTAGAGGGATGGCATGAAAACTTTTCCCATCGCCTCTGCTTCAGTGAACAGGTGTAAAGGGATCTAGGCCTTAGAGAACCTTCAAAGATTATCAAGAAACAACTGTGCAAGACCTCATACTAATTTAAGATGCTATGATTTATCAATTATATATAACTTAAGGGAAGCAAAGAGATTGTAAATTTCACATTTTATCTTTTAAAAAATTACTTTATTTATTTGTTTATTACAATTTATTCACTTTGTATCCCGGCTGTAGCCCCTTCCCTCATCTCCTCCCAGTGTCACCCTCACTTTTTCTTCACCCCCTATGCTGAATCCCTAGCCTACTGGTAGGGGCGGTCCTCCTCCCCTTTCATCTGACCCTAGCCTATCAGGTCTTATCAGGACTGGCTGCATCATCTTCCTCCGTGGCCTGTCAAGGCTGCACCCTCCAGGGGGAGGTGATCAAAGAGCCAGCCACTGAGTTCATGTCATAGACAGTCCCTGTTGCCCTTACTAGGGAACCCACTTAGAAACAGAGCAGCCTGTGAGCGTCCTCTGAGCAGGGGTTTAGACAGCATCTTTTGTAATCTTGATAGTCTTGAACTCACTATTTAGCTGAGGATGATTGAAAACTTCTGATTCAGCCTTGCGGTGGTGGCTCATACCTTTAATCCCAGTACTTGGGAGGCAGAGGCAGGGGAATCTCTGGGAGTTTGAGGCCAGCCTGGCCTAAGGAGCAAATTCCAGGACAGCCATGGCTACCTAGAGAAACCCTGTCTCAAACTCCTCCAATCCTCCTCCCCCTCAAAAAAAGAAAACTTCTGATGTTCTTGCCTTCACTTCCCTGGTGCTAGGATAACAGGTATGAACCACTATGTCTGGTTTTATGTAGTCCTGGAAACAGAACCCTGGGCTTTGTGCATACTTGGCAAGCCCTCCACCAGCTGTGACCCATCCTCAGCCCCTTGATTCATTTTTAGTTGAATATTCTCGCTCTGTACACAGTGATTTAAGCCCCAACGGCTAACCCCCAGCATCAGCTACTGCTCTAATTGCTCCAAAAGCATTTTCTTCCTACTCTGGGGTTAAAGATCAAGAGTGCTATAAGTTGGGTTGGCAGTGCCTTAGACATCATCCAGTGGGGTGGGGGGAGGGCGTGGCCACACAGCTCCAGGGGGCCGCTGTTACCCACCCTGTTCCACAGAAACGTGAGCCTCAGAGTTCCAGGAGGAATGTTTCAAGGGAATGGATTCTGATGTTCAGTCTGCACATTTTATAGGTCGGCAACCAGTTTGTTTGAAGAATAGTGCAAGCGAGTCAGGGGCAGGCAGGTCTCTTTGGATTCAAGGTCAGCCAGGGCTACACGGGTGAGGCTCTGTCTTAATGAAAAAGAAAAGAAAGGAAAGCGTTCAAAACAAACAAAACACTTGCAGGCAGGATTTTTTTTTGGTTTCTAATTTGTAGCAATTAGTGATTCAAACAGAGAACACGTGAACGTATTGGCTGAGTGGAGTAGTAGCTCCCTATGGCCACAGAACAAATCACCTAATTTAGCAGTTCAGAAGGGCTTTGCAACAGTTTAAAAGGGCAAGAAGAAGTCAATGCTGGGTGTCGCCTCTAACTTGCCCATCTTCAGAGATGCAGTTAGAATCTCATCTTGGCCTGGCTGCTTCAAAGGCAGACTCGATTGCAGGTCCACGAGCAATGTGACATCTCTTTAAAAGATGAATCTGACTGAACTTTGAGTCTGAGGGAGAGGGCTGGGGCAGATCCTGTGTCTCAGAGTGTTTGCTGATATGCTGCTGTTACCATGCCAGGAATAACAGCTCTGGTTGGGGTTCCTCTGGGTAGGTTGGCAGCCAACACCCCAGAGGGATTTTCTCCTGAGTTTTACCCAAATAGTGACCCAATCCCACCTGCCAGGTATATCCTCTGCCCAAGAGTGTTCGCTTTCCATAGATTTGGCCCACTGAAGCCTGGTCTCTGCATTCTTGGATGTACCAACTATTTGTAAAGGATGGTATCTGCGTCAGCATACACAGACTTTTTCTTATCCTCAACATTTCCCAGACATCGAAGAAGAGCAGCTCTTTCTGTAACTTTTATACTGTCTGAGAAATCAGAGTAATCTAGAGATGATTTTTAAGGTGTACAGGAGGTGTGTGTCAGCCAGGAGGTGTGCGATTATGTAGGAGGAGTGTGCGTGGTTCTCCAGGAGATGTGTGGCTATATTTGAGAGGTCACACGGGAGGTGTGAGCTTGCAGAGGAAGCGTGCACTTACACAGGTGTATGGTCGTACCGAGTGTTTGCACTCGTACAGGATGCGTGAGGATTTACAGCAGGCGTGTGGGTTGTAGGGATGCTGGCCTACATTTGAGGGAGGGACTTGAACATTCACTGCTTTGGGCGTCTGGGAAATAATCTTCAGAGTTCTAAGGCTGGGCTGTGTACCGAGAAGGCTTCCCTCGGTCCATGGCGGTGATAATAGACCGTATGTTCCAGGCAGAAATCAGTATGCACATATCACATGTTTTGACTTCTCTTGTTCAAGTCAATTGAGGGGCTGCAGATAAAAGAGTGCTTGCTAGTCTTGCAGAAGACCCGAGCTCAGTTTCCCGCACACACACAGAAGCTCACCACTGCCGGTAACTCCAGCTCCAGGGGATCTGTATTCTCTCTCTCTCTCTCTCTCTCACACACACACACACACACACACACACACACACACACACCCTTTTTAAAAATGTCATTTTAAAAGTAAAAAAGCAAGTCAACTTTAATTTCCTTACCATATTTAGAAAGTCATTAAAATTAGGAGCTCAAAATAAAATGAGTCCTGGAATTAAGGTGTGAGTCCCCATACCCGACAAGAGAATCTTTAGACTGGCCTGTTTTCCCCACCGTATTCTGAGGTTTGTGTCATGAGTGGCAGATCACATCTTTACAACCAGGCAAAGAACCCCCAAGTTCTTGGGGCACATGTGCACAATTTTTGTGGGTTCATTCAGACATAGAGAGCCCTCGTAGTCTATTTGAGAATGGCTCTGACTTGGTTCCGTCTACACTTTGAGAGATGGTAGAATATGACCCCGTGCTTTCTCAGGGCAGCTCTGGCTGTTCCTTGGGGATTCCTGAGCAGATTGCTCTCACCACAGCACAGTGTTAACTCAAACTCTTAATTATGAAAGACACTGGCTGAAACCCGAGTCAATGCTCAGGGCAAATTGAAGCTTGATGGGTTTGCAGTTTTCTTGGGGGAGGGAGGATGAAGTGGCACATCGAGGTTCTTCGTCAGCTCCTCTCTGCTTCCTGCCTGGGGCTGGCTGGGGCTGCTTGGCCTTCCTCATCCTCACTGACCTGGGTCCTGTTTCTCCTCAGGATGAGAGTCTGCGCTAAGTGGGTGCTGCTGTCACACTGGCTGGTTCTGGCCTACGTGTTGATGGCCTGCTGTAGGCTGATGTCCGCCTCCAGCCAGCACCTCCGGGGACAAGCAGGTAAGCTGTTTAAGCTCATTACAAACTGCTGAGATCAATTAATAAAACACTTTGACACACCAGAGGCCACACTTTAGACACAGGTGATTGACAAGCGCTTTGGCTGGTGTGTAAATAGTGGAGGGCTGTGCTGGAGCAGGACTGATTGGGGCCTCTTTTCAAGGTGCTGTCTGGCTTCTCTTTTGAGTTTCAGCTCTTACTTTCTTGGGCGGGCTTCTGTATTAGTGCTTTCCCCCCTGAATGTCAGGAAGTCACTCACTCTGTGTGAGTGAGTGTGTCTGCTCATACGCGGGCATTCTTATAGCTTCCTGAAATTCGGGGTCAAGTTTAGATCTCAGCCGACTCAGGGCTGTCCTGAGAGGACCTTTCAGGTAATCTAAGGGGACTTGAGACATGTAGAGAAAATATGCTGAATGATAGACATAACTAAGGAGAGAAGAAAAGAAATGACAAGATGAAGAAAACAAAGAGGTAACCTTTGCATTTTCATGGGTTCCCCATCATCCCTGAAAATAGTTCCCCCTCTGGCCTTTTGCCTGTCTCCTACCAACCATGAAGAAGCCCTTGATCTCCACCACCCATGATGCTGCTGTGTGTCACAGCAGGCCCAGAAAGCTGGACCCCGATCCAGCTGGCCTGATCCCGCTGGTGCATCTGAGGGATTTTAGTTCCTGATGGAAGGCGAGTTGGTAAAGTCCTGAGCCTGCAGCATACATGAGGATAGTGCTCTCTGGAATCAGATGTCACATGAAATTCTGAGCTAGGGCAGAGGGTGTGGCTAAATACCGTGCTGCCAAGTGTTCACTACCGATTTTCCCCCATTTCCTTCACCACGATGGGGCCTATCACTTCCTGTCACACTCTCCCACTGAACTATATCTCCAGCATTTTTCATCTTTACAAACCGAAGGATCACATTTATCATCCAAATGCCTCTCCTAACTGCCAGATCACAGACTGGACATCGAATGCTGAGCAAGAAAAACAGCACCTGTCTGATAAGGACAAAGAACCAAGACTCAGGCTGGCTCATACTTTACCTCTGTGATTTGGGTGGGTGGGGAGGGAGTATTTATTTTCTCATTTTCTTCGGGGTTTCTCAAGCCACTCTGGCTCAGGAGCAGAACACACTTAGCCTAGAGACTTGTTGTCTCTCAATTGGTGATAAAAATTGCCTCCATAAGAATATTTCCTCTTTTGCCTCATGTATCTCTGTTGACATATGTGGGCATCTATTTGCGTGTAGGTTCTACATGAGAGACAGGACTTGTTTTGAGTAGGGATGTTGCTATGTGTTCTATTGCTACATTATTTATTTATTTATTTTCTCAGTGATATGACAGAGTATCGGGCAAAAGCAGCTTTAGGGAGGGGGGACTGAGGGGACATAGTTTATCAGGTGGGAGAAGCCCACAGCAGACCTCTCTGTGGCAGTGGAAATACCAGGGCAGCTGTTTGCTCACATCTCAGTGGCTCAGGAAGCAGAACAGGCTAGAACCAAGCAAGGGCTATAAAACCCAGGCCCCACCAAAGTGGCCTCCACTTCCTCCAGCTGCGTGCCATCTTCCCGTGGTCCCACGAAATGTCCAAAACACCACCACCTGGGGATCAAGCTAGAAATGAAGTGTTCAAACACATAGCCTGTGAGGAGCCTTCTAATCCAAGCCACAATGTTGCCCATATTAGCCCCAAACATTTGAGGCTCATGTAATCATCTTGCTTCAGCCGTCAGAGTATCTTGGACTACAGTGATATTCTATTCTACTATCGGCAGGAAGATTTTGAGTTCAAAGGCAGCCTGCATGGTCCAGAGAGACCCTGCGCCCCAAGAAAGTAAAGTGTGAAAGTACCTTCAACTGCATATAAGTCAGAAGCATTAACCCCCTGGTCCACTGACCTCTGAGTGTGGGAAATTTAATTGATGGGATAGGCCACCCCCAAAGACCGATACCACGCCATGCTTTCCCTTCCTCCCTCGTTCTGACATGTTAAGGGTTGCTGGAGTTTTAGGCTCAGGGTAATTTCTTAAATCTCTCACAACTCAATTTTCTCCCCTCAAGTGGCAGTTTGAAGATGGGGAAAATAATGATTGAAGTTTTGAGGAATCAGCATAAAATCAATACCGCTCGGCTGTCGTGGAGCACGCACAGGTAGCTGGTTATTGTGCGGTGTCTTTTGATGAGTTCATTTCGGGGGCCCGGAGCATTTGGAGTCATTCATCTCATCTGTTTAAAGCACATCTGTTTTCCAGACTAGAGCTTGGTAGAATGTAGCGGTGGGTGCATCATCAACAGATTTCCAGGCACGGGGCTGCGGGTGTCGAGGAGAGATGCAAACTTGAAGAAAGTGGGCTGGGGAGTGGCTCAGTTGATAAAGCACTTGGCATAGGAGCCTCGGCTTAAGAGGCAGTGATTCATACTAAAAAGCGCAGGGCAAGGGGGACAGAGAGGCAGCCTGCTGGAACCAGGAAGCTCCACGTTCAGTGAGAGAACCTCTCTCAAACAACGAGGTGGGAAGTGATTGAGGGAGACACTGGATGTGGATAACACATACACACACACACACACACACACACACACACACACACACACACACACACACTCTCACACACACTTGAGGGAAATTGGCCACAACCAAACCTCCCATGTTATCTGTGACAATCGTTGTCTCGTTACATAACTGCAAATTCTGACACCTAGACAACTCTAGAGCTAACTCTAATTTTTTTTTTAATGGCTCTTTTCAGTTTATTGCATGAAGGAGTTACCCTAGTCCAAGTTAAAAGCGGGGCCCCCACATGGTTACATTATACATGCTGTGGGGTTTTTGAACTTGTGACCCAGGGACAGAAGGGAATTTCTACTCATGGCAAGGAAATCCTCGCTTAAGCTTCAGAGCCACAAGCACTTAACACCCATGACCCTTCAGACGGTCATTCTTAGCCAGTCCAGGCTCTATTGGCAACTGGCATATGTTCTTGCCCTGGTCACCCTGAAGCTGAATTACTTCTCCATATTCTGGTCGCTCACTTACAGTGTCATTGTAGGCAAATTTCTTCTTAAACGCCTTCACTAGTCTCTTTTTATCACAACCACCAGCGATCCCTTGGGCAGGAGTAAGGGTCTTCCTGTGGTTTCTCTGTTGAATTCTTGTATGGACAGAATCCTCAGTGCCAGCAGGAAGCAGGCCATCACTCTTACTTGCAGCAGCATAGGGGTCGAAAGAGAGGAGGTTCTGGATAGCGGGGACACGCAATAGGATTCCTTTTCCTCAGCAGAAACTTCCTGTAGAAGGCGGGCGGGGGTGAGTGTGGGGGGGAAGGTACTGACAGAGCATCGGGAAGCAAGGGGGCTGGATGGGGGAGGCAGCTGAGTCCTCGGCGTCGGCTCAGTGACTGGAACCACTAACTCTAAATTAAGAGTGGAATTGTTCCCAAGAAGAGCAGATGGCACCTTCCATTCCAGCAAACGCTGGATTATCAGAAGGGAGGATAAGGCTGCTGAGGGAGGCCTTGGTTAAGCCTGCTGAAAAAACAGCCCTGTAACCTGGGGCTTCTATGTGGACGGGTATCATTGGCTTCTTGGCACACATACCGCACGGCATTCTCTGGCTGTTGGAAGTCCTCTGCTTTTAACCTCTGGGATTTTAATTCCCATCACTCCATATCTAACCAACCACCAAAGGAACCAGGGCTTATTCCTGCCGCATATGGACTCTGTTTTGTACCTGAGGTTTTGTGCTACCTGGAGAGACATCTTTTGTGGAGGCGATATGTGAAGGCCTTTGAATTCCTCCCGGACCTTCACACTGTAGTTCTCTTGCCCAGAGGAAGGGCTCCCAATCTCATTGTAAGTTTTACTCCTCCGGAGGTCTCATAAGCTGTGTCCCCATTCCTGTAATGTAGCAGGCATTAAACTGTTGATGAATAGGCTGACTAATTTCGTTCGTTTTTCTCCGTGTGGTCTGTTGAATAGTTTGATGCTTGTGGCAAAAATCCCAAATGATTAAGGCAAGCATGAAAGAGGTATCCTCTTCTTGTTGGCTCTTCTGGGAAAAAAGAATGTGTGTACACACACAGATGCACCAGCATGTACCCTGTCTTGTCACTTGCTCTCTTTCCTTTGACAATAGAGTTTGGCGATCTTCTGATGCGGATGTTCGCTGGTCTCTACTGCTGTCTGGTGCACTGTGTGTTTGTGTATCGGAAGGGCGTACCATCAGCTATTTGGTTACCCCAGGGCTGGCTAACTTGTGATCAGATGTGTATAAGGACACCTATTCTCACCGTGAAGAAATTGTGCTGGTGGAATGGCTAAGTTAGTGCCTACGAGGGTGTTAATGGGATCTGGCTGATTGCTGGGACAAAACCACAACACAGAACAAATGTGGTCTTTTCTGGTTCCTGAGTGGCAGGTGACTATTCCAGCTGCCTCCATCAGTGGTGTTTTAGGGCCCATGGTGGTGGGAACTCTTCTGCTCTCAGCTCCAGCTGGCTCCTAGGAGACCAGGGAAACATGGAAGACTTGATGAGTGGTAACGAGGCAGCGTAAGGTGTGAATGGCATCCCTCCACTTTCCTTGCCATCGGCTAGGGCTTAGCCGCCTGACCACACCTGCCATGAAGTGAGAATAGCCACATAACTCTAGCTGCGGGCTCAGGAAGAAGAGGTGAGCGTGAGTTCTTGCTGAGCTCCAGAGTGCCTTCCAGAACCTTCTGGTGGGTTCATCCTTCTAAAAACAGTGCCAGGGTGACAGTGAATGCCCCTCCACTCTCCATAACCTCTCTCTGACTCTGGGCACTGTTGTTCTGAATTTCCCAGGACTGTATAGTGGAAGCACTTTGTTCATTGAGGACCCAGTCCCAGAGAATTGGGATGATACTCACTCTTGTTTCTTCTCCTCCAACTCCTATTCCATTTTCCTTCAATAACTGCCAGGAAAACAAAGCACCCTTCGCCCTGCAGTGGCGTGTGGCATGAAAGCCCACCTGACTAATCTCACGGCTTGCTGATCATTCTGTATAGCAAAGGAGGTATCTTCAAACCCTGTCCCCTCAGCAGACCAAGACAGGAACAGAGCAACAGGGTGGGGGTGGGGTTACTGAAACACTTGGAAGAAAGCACTGTTAGTAATGATTCAAATTTTTTAGTTCAGGCATTTAAAAACACGTAGGCAATGGGGCTGAATGTGAGCAAAATACATAAGATCCGTCATTTAGCACAATGAGCACATGCTAATAACTAAATAAAAACACTTGCCTGATTTTCACAGTCACCATTTAGGACCCTTTCCTTAGGGCAAATGGCGCTGGAAACTTTCACGGGAGTCTGGAAGTTGTGTTTTGAAGGTATCAAAAACCACAAAGAATCCTGGTCCCTGGTATTTTACCATTCATATAGCCATCCTCCTTGGTAGCCCGAGGTGATGGAGAGGGAGGAAGGTCACTTCTCCCAATGAGTCCAGTCTTCTTAATTAGAAAGTAGGGTTCCAACCCCCTGTCACTTTTTAATCCACCATCGATGCTTTTCCACTAGACAGTAACCTCTTTTCTCCAGAAGAGGGCAGAAAACAACATCTTGGGAAGACTGCAGGCTGCGAGGTGGTTCAGGAAACCCAAGTGACAGCTGGAATTAACTGTTTAAAGGTGCTTGTGAAAGTTTTATCCTTCATAACCATGGTAATATTGAGCCACAATGCTTCCTAAATACATGGGACTTGTCTCTGGGGACATCTGAATATACTATAATGTAGATTTTTTTTCCTTTCAAGACAGACAGCTACTACAGTTGGAGATTTGGGTGCTACAGGTTTCTTTGCTCATTTTAATAGTTCCATTTCCTCAGAAGTCTGACTTGCATTGTCTGACTGGATGCTGGGGTGCCTCCCTGGTGTCAACTCCATTTACTCCCCTTAGAAAGACCGGGGAAAACTAGAGCACACCCAGTGAACAAGCAGCACAGGAAACCAAGTACTAGGGGCTGAGGTCAAGCATAGCTTCCTCATCTTGGCTATGCGATCACATCTAGGCTACCTACCCCTTCTGAGCATGTTTCATCATCTCTACTATAAGGTAGTCATGCCTGCCTTATATCAGGTTGTTAGAATGGGCAAATTGTGACAAGCAGGTGAAAGGCCTAACACACATAGCAAACACACCAGAAGTGGACACTGTTTTCAGAGTTAGGGGTACACAGATGGCGGGCTCTGAGAAGTCCTGCATTGGAGGGGTGGCTGGAGGCCATGGCTTCTCTGGGGAACCGTGATGGGCGTCTTCAGAGTTTGAAGCTTCATGGTCAACAAGGAAAAAAAAAAAAAAAAAAAAAAAAAAAAAAGCTTGTTTAGCGTTGCCTTGAAAGCTGATGAAATGAAAAAAGTCACTTTTTGGTTGTTTAAACAGAGACTTTAGAAGGAGACATCCGGATGCTGGGAAGGAGAGTGGCTCAGGCCAGCCTTGAGTGACTGGCTACTGGCTGTAGAAGCAGGCGGCCCTCCAAGCCAGGAGCAGGGTAGATGCAGAGAACCACGGAAGGTCTGCGGTGCCTCTCCACAGGGAGCCAGCAGGTGCTGGCCTCTCTGCTGGGCTGAGGCCACACTGGCTACAGGCCTCTCTTGCTTCAATTTAAGCTTAGAGGAACCTGGAAACCGGGGCTCAGACCCATAGTGAAAGAGACTCAATCTGACCCTCCTAAGGTTGTAAGTGGGAGCTGGTCAGCTGATGCCTGACAGTACAGAGGGCCTTCTTGGCTTAGGGGGCACATGGTGTATTATGGCGATCTTCTTTGAGGACTACCTTCTCTGTTTAATGGGGTCCCGGTGGCTCTGGGCTCTTCAGGTGGATGGAGGACTTCCAGTTTTCCATTGTTTTCTTTATTATAAAATGTCAATACAAAACACAATGTGAAACATTTTGGTGCCTTCCGTTATGGTTAATTTTGTCCGACTTCTTTGAAGAGGACTGGTTGTATTCCGGTAGTCGTGAGGGTTCACTCTTTGTGTTAGTTTTGCTGATGATAAAGCTGCACATTTCAGCTGCTGTTATTTCAGTTTTTTAGAGATTTTCCTGCATTGCTGAAGTTCTGGCACTAGGGGGCAGGCAAGGCTTACAATAGCTAATAGCAACGCCCGTCATCCCTCCCACCCCTCAGCCCCAGACCCCACCCCAGTGTTTTCTGGCTACTTTAAAAACACAAAGAAACCGGTGGAATTAATTTTACTAATATGTTCTTAAAAATCTATACATTCAAATGATTATCATGTAAACATATCTCTTGAGCAAACCATAGCTGGATATAGGTAGAGGTGACTATAGGAAATAATTTTAGTTGATAAATTGTTCCTGTTTGTTAGTTTGTTTTTGAGACAGGGTCTCACTAAGTAGCTCTGGCTGGCCTGGAGCTTGCTAGGTATCACACTGACCTTGGACCTACAGAGATCCACTGCCTCTGCCTCCTGAGTACTGGGATTAAAGGCTAGCGCCACCGCACCTGGCTAGGGAATTGATTTCTTAGTATTGTATTCTTAAGTATTAGAATTCAATGTACTGATATTTTCCTGGTTTTTGGAGTGCACAATCTGTGTTCCTTCAACTAACTAGTTCCTCTCACGTATTATAGGTATCATCTTGTCTTTCTTCCTCTTTTCTCTTTTTCAAAAGTACTGCTATTCCCCCCACACCCCTCATCCTTCCCCCTAAGAATCTCGCGCTGGGAGAATAGAAAGTCTAAAGAAAAACTTTTACAACTTGTCAAACCACCTTACAGCTCAGGCGGGTATGGAACTTGCCGCTTAGACCAGGTTGGCCTTGAACTCACAGAGATTCACTTGCCCTTCTGTCCCCCAGGGCTGACATTAAAGCCCCTGCTCTACAGTTTAAAGTTTCAACTTTAAAGTTTACAGTTTAAAAGGAGGGAATTTCCCCTGTCTTCCCTCCTCCTGTCCTGTAGATGGCTGCTTGGCTAATGGACGGGCATCTCCACAGCAACATATTCTGTAACATTGCTGGGGATTAAGAGCAAGACAGAGCCATTCTGTAGATAGTTCGCTATTCAGGGTCATGGACCCAACCTAATGAAAGCATCTGTATGACGTAGGTAAACTGGTAGTCAAGAACACAGCAATTTTATCCTCAACACGATGCAAATCAAAGTTAAACTCAAGGAACAAATGAAGAGTTCGGAGACTAAAACCCAAAAGGACCCCGACTCGTCAGGATGCGGTGGGTACCAGCATTGGCTCTCTCACACCCTGGCTTTGCTTCTCCTCCTTGGGCCTTCGGTGGGCCTCGTGGGTGGGCTTTCTCTGAGTTATCACTTTACCTCCCATCCTTGGGCCAATCAGAATCTTCCAGATGCGTTCAAATTAGACAACCAGTTTCATCATCCTGACTCAATTTTCACGCTCGTGCTACCAAACTGACCCATTCCCAAGACGCAAAATATCCTTCAGTGTGCTGCTTGGCAACTGGCTCCTCAGGAGCCTTCCTGCTGCCGGGGGCTGCTAGCCTATTTCCCAATAGAACCTGCTCGACCTCTGTTGTCCGCCCCCCCCTCCCCCAATTGGAGCCAGGAAACTGGTAAAAACATGAACAGAGCAAAGGAAGCATGGAGGGATGGTGTAAGACGCCTGGGGCTTAATGATGGAAAAGCATCCATAGAGTGTGTTGCTTTTTTTTTTTTTTCTTTTTCTTTTAATTGGCCTGAGGGGAATGGAGCCATCCTACTGGAAAACGGTGAGGCCTATACTATGGCTGTATTGTGTATCTTGCAAGGTGGAGTATGAGAACCTTTCATTTAGCAGCTGTATTTGTCACTTTTCAGACCCATGGTAAGAGACGGAGAATTACTGATTTAGAGGACAAGGGAAGTGGGAATTAAATGCTGGCTCTTTGTCAAGTTACTGTTACAGCCCTTGAAGGGATGACACCTTCTCAGTGGCTCCAAGCCCTGGATTACCAGAGGAGAGGCAGGACTCAGCCGTGACCCCTGCCTCCATTGCTCCAGAAGGACTTTGAAAACCCTTCTTCGTTTTGGACCCGTCTGGTTCCTCCTTGCTGTTAACCATGTCTGACATGAGAGTCTGCCAACCACGCCTGGGCCCAGTGTGGTTCTTCTCAGGTGGCATCTTGACGTGTTCATCTTGAGCTCAGCGTTTGTTAAGAGTGGGGGAGGGACACGTTGGAGGTGTTGATATTCGTCTTCTCCTGTGTCTCCAGCTGCTTGACAAACAAGGCTGGCCGGGTGACATACTTGGTAATTGAACATGGTTTATTTGTGTCCTTTCTCCCACGGTAAGCAAGAAATTCTGTCCTGCTTTCTGTAGGGAACTTCCTGTTGGGTGGGGCTTGCTCTTCTTCCCTTTTGGTCTTGGAGGCAGAACAGACCTCAGCTTTTGAGCAGTCCTGTGGGTGGAGGGCTCTCCTTCCCGGGGGAAGAGTCCTCATCTTTATTCTTTTGAGCCACATACTTAAGCTCATCTCTGCAATTTGGGGTTTGGAAAGCCACAGGTCAGTTGTTCATCTGTATGTTGAAACTCTACGAGGAAATCAGAATCCTTTGTTCCCTGTAAGGAAAGTAAAGCCTTTGGTGAAAAGCAGGAAGGGAACAGAGTAGAAAGGGGGCAGGATGGAAAAAATGAGACTTTGTGTTTTCCTAGGTGTTGCTTGGATGTTTTAAATATTTTGGCCCATATGGTGGTCTCAGAATAGGATGCTAGAAATAGTGTTATTGAAGAGGCATCTAATAACACGTTTGAAATGATTAATTGGCTGTGGGAAGATAGTGTTTGCAGTAGTTAAAAACAACTCCCAGGGCCGCCTGACATCTTTGAGGTTAGGGAGTGTCTGAAAGCAGGTAGCCATAGACAAGTTAAAAGGCACATGCGCACTTGACCAAGCTTGGCTTGTTCAGCTGAGTCCCTTGCCTGTTTCTCGCCTGTAGAGGAGGGAGCCCTGAGGTCTCAGAGCCAGAGGTGGAAACAATAGAGAAATTTATTTTTAGGAAAAAATAGAATTAGAGCATAGGCGTGACATAAAACAAATGGCTGTGCCCAGGGCTTTTCAGTGTGGAACTCTTCTGAGGGCATTACTGACTCTGCATAGCTTCCAGCTCCAGCTGGGAGGGTCGGGTGGGACTTGAGTAACTTAAATTGCTCTTAAGCAAAAAGTACATGGTACATGGTCCAGGTTTCTGCCTTCCCTTTGCCAAGTCGAACTTTACACTGGACTGTCTAGTCTTTTTTAGATGGCTTTGTCATTGGAGAAGAATTTACAAGGATGATTGGAGACATTTATTCCCTGAAAAGGAACACAGGGACACCATTGCTCTTTTCTGTGCCCCAGCTCTGTAGTTTCCTTATCAATTCAGAGGTTTTCAAGTAAGTGTGCAAGTCGGGGCTGGTAATGGCTAGCAAGAGATGCTCTTCATGTTTGGGTTATTGCTAGCTAATATATCACGTGGGAAATAGTAACCTTGTGGAAAGGCAGAGAGTGATTTCTAACTTTGGTTGCAGAGGCAAGACTGAGGTCTAGGAAAGCCTAAAGCAAAGGCTGTAAAATTGATGCGTGAAAGAAACAAGCTGGCAAAGAAGAGGCAGGAACTCCTGCCACCCCTGACCTGAGGCCTGCTAGGTCTGACTAGTGGGTTCAGTGGCACTCCACAGTGTGAAGATGGTTCCAGGCAGAGGCCGGGTGTGTTAAGGATAAATGTGACACATGAGATTGTGCGTGGAACTGCACAGAATGGACAGCATTCATGAGAAAGCCCCCTGCTGAACGAATGGCTCCAGAGGCCAGAGCTATGTGCATTAGAAATAAACCCAAACCCAAACCCAAACCAACAAAACCCTCAATTCTTTGCCCAGTGGTGCCATATTGATCTGCTAACACTCCTCCTGCTGCCCTGGTTCTCTTTCCTTGGAAGTGTACTCTCTACAAAAATTTGTGTGTGTGGCTGTTTTGCCTGAATGTATGTCTGTGAAGCATATGTCTGCAGAGGCCAGAAGAGGGCATTGGATCAGCTGGAACCAGAGTTATAAACAGTTGTGAGCTGCCCTGTGGCCTCTGGGAATTGAACCCAGCGTGCTCTGGAAGAGAAGGAAGTCGTTATAATTGCCCAACCGTCTCTCCATTCCAGTGTACATCTCGTAACCAAGCGTCTCCATTGTCTCCATTTAAAGTCTCCATTTAAAGACTTCAGAACCCAGAAGCCCACCCTGAGGTATTGTCTGAACCATGGTGTTCTCTGATGTCAGCATGACTTAGCAATGGTTTGTTCTTTCAATAGTGTGCATGGAGCTTGCATGCATTTGTGTGTCTGTCTTTCTGTCTTCTGCTTGATTCCTACAGATGGGAACAAGGTCGCCAGACATGCTTTTCCCTCCCAGGATGTCCTTCCTGATCTTGAATTTGCTCTCGAGTGAGCCCAACGCCAGATTCAGTGTGTAATGCATCAGAACCGAGTGGTTTCCAGGAACCACTGAAAGCTGAATTTGAACTCTATTAATTTCAGAATTTGAGATGATCCTGAAATGATAAGGCTGACATTTACCCATGTATTGTCTATGAAAAACAGATTTGCTGAGCAAATACATAGAGTAAATATGTTTACCTAGCAGGTGTCATTGATCTCAGGGAACCATCCGGGAATGGCTCACTCAGGAAATACTCATCTAATCCAACATTAAAATGTTTGTGTCTTTTCTACACAGAGACCTGGCCTTGTGACTTTGAGCAAAGTTACCCAACTCTGAGCCACAGATTATTGTTTCTGGGTGTCACAGCACCTCCTCTATTTCAGAGTGTCTTGATGAGGTAAAATTGTCACCTCGCACAGGGAAGAGAGATATTTGTGTTATTCTCTTTAGCGGTCAGGCTACTGAGAGAGGGACCTCAAAACAGTGAACCCCAAGAGTCCTATGCTGAGAGAAGGAAAGACTGACAAGCCCTGGGCCAGGACAGGGAAGGGAGGAGAGAAGATCCTGCCCCAGGAAGAGATTCCACACTGCCAGAAGGCTCATCTTTCTTCACACAGGCCCCAGGGCTCACCCGGTGACACTGGCACCTGAGATGACACTGGCACCTGAGATGCTCCTCGCCATTGTTTCTTCTTTTCTATACGGGTGTCACACTGCGCCAAGGTGAAAAGGAGCAAAGGAGACTGTGACTGCCTGGTTTGGCCAAACTGAAAAGAAGTCCATCTTCCTTGATGGATTTCTGTCTCTTGATTTCCTTGAAATACTCGGAGACTAGGCAATGACCTAACAGGCCCAAGACAAAATAAAACATGTGATGTGCCTGGAACTTAATGTATTGATTTTAGCTGTATTTCTTTCTAAAAAGAAAAAAAAAAAGCTTAAGTTTTAACTGACATAATCAACTGCATCCTTTTAGTGTTTATAAATTGAAACACACGCAAATATCCTGAAACCATGTCCATGACCAACATAACAAGTGTTCACCCCTCACAAAATTTCTTGCATTAAAATAAAAAAATTGCTGGATGGTGGTGGTGCACACCTTTAATCCCAGCACTCAGGAGGCAGAGGCAGGCGGATCTCTGTGAGTTTTGAGGCCAGCCTGGTCTATAGAGCGAGTTCCAGGACAGTCAGGGCTACACACAGAAACCCTGTTTTTAAAAACCAAAAGGTAAAAACAATTAAAAGAAAAAACAAATAACTATAAGTCAATACATGAAAATAATATTTTTTTTTTTAAAATGAGGGAGCGTTAGGTAGAGACAGAGATGGATAGAAACACAGAAAGAGAAGGCATACGTGTGCACCATGGTACGTGTGCCTTCTGTGTCATGTACTCTTCTGTCCCTCTCTCCATCCCATCTTGCTGTAGGAGTGAGGGGTTGCACATTTGCACTGCTTGTTAGGTGTAAGTGGCTTCTGGGAGTCTGAACCTGTGCACTTACACTTGTATGGCAAACTTTCTATCTACCGAACCCTCTCCCCGACCTTCTGGCATTCTTTTATAATCTGTCACTTTTGACCCTTCCCCAGTTATGGCCCTACAGATCTTTGTGTTCTTCGGATACGCAGTCATTTTCTAGAATGGCGTTTACCTGCAATCAGACAGAATGCGTTAATGTATTTTTATTTTACCTGATTTCTTTCCAGACGATTATTCTATAATTCATCCATGCCACTTCAAATATTAATAGCTCACTTAACAACTTTCTAATCAAAAATTATAATAGACATATTAGTTTCTATCTATCTATCTATCTATCTATCTATCTATCTATCTATCTATCT